GTGCTGCTCTGATTGGGTGGGAGTGGCTTGTGCAGCATTGGGCTGTGGGAGATGGGAGAAACCCTGGGATTGGTGGGAGATGGTGGTTCACCTGGCTAGAATTGGGGGGGCAGTGGGGCCTCCTGGTCAGAGCCAGCAGCACTCCACTGGGTTTAGGGAAGGTGGTCTCTGCTGGGCTAGGTGGGAAACTAGTATCTTTAGCTGTGGTTGGAGACAGGTGTGCTCTGTTGTGATTGGTGGGAGCTCTGTCTTCTCTTCTGAGATTGGTGGGAATCTCAGCACTAACTGTGGGGGTTATGTGAGGTTTGTGAGGTGTGCTTTGCTGTGATTGGTGGGAGCCGTGTGTCTGCTCCATCCCATGACTGATTGGAAGCAGGTGTGCTGTGATGTGATTGGTTGTAGTCCTGTTTTCACCTCTCCCCTCCCACCTGTGATTGGTGGGAGGAAAGCCAGCTCTGCTTGAAAAAAACCATGCTTCCTGGGCTGTGATTGGTGAGAAGTGTCAAGTGCAGGAGGCAACGCTGCAGGCAGGGGAGCACAGGCAGCCCCCGCACAGCAAGCAGGGACACACCATCGCACAAATTAACACTAGTGCTAATGAGGGCCTGTCAATGCCCCAACACTGCCCACAGGGTGCCCACGCAGCCTGCCCACCTCCCCCGGGGTGGCGCGGCCGGAGGGGCAGCACTTGCTGCCCACTGCTACCCGCCGGGCCGGGTGGCCGCATTCTGCTGCTGCTCTGCAACACGGCAGGCGCTGGTCCCCAGCTCACCAGGTACCTCCCACCCTGCCCACCCTCAGGCCCATGCCCTCATCCTGGCCTCCCACTGCAGGATGGGGCACAGGACACCTGCATGTCCCCCTCAGCCAGGTGTCCCCTGCTGTCTGTCCCCAGATTCGGGCCACCGCTGGTGCTGCGGGAGGAGCGAGGTGTCTCCTGGGAGCAGCTCCAGCAGAGCATCCTGGCCCAGCTGCAGGCCCTGCTGCGGCGAGAGGTGCGGGCACAGGTGAGCTGGGGACACCACTGTTCCCTCCCAGAGGCACGCTTGGCTGAATCTGCTGCCACCACAGAGATGGGGGAGCTTGAGCTATGGGTGGCCATGATGGAGCTTTGGGTGGCTGTGGCAGCACCATCACTTGCTGCGGTGATACCAGTGGTGACCATGGTAGAGCTGCTTGGCTGCAGGGTCACCAGGGGTGTCACTGTGAGTGATTGTGGTGGTTGTGCTGTTGATCCCTTTGGCTGACGGTCACTGTGGGTGGCTTTACTGTCCCTATGGGTGGTCATATTTGCACTGCAGGCAGCCAGTGGTGTCACTGTGGGTGACCAGTGTCCCTGTGCGTGGCTGTGGTGTCCCTGTGGGCTGTCTCATTGTCACTACAGGTGGCCAGTGGAGTCACCACAGGTGGCCACAGTGCCACTGTGGATGGCCACAGTGCTACCCAGCTCCCACAGCAGAGCCACCCCAGCCCAACCATTCCTAGCATCCGGCTGCCGCCATCCCACAGGCACTGGTGTCCCTGTGCTGCTGCTTTTCCCCACAGCCAAACCACAGCCAGTGGGACAGGTCATCCCCCAACCCCATGTGCCTCTCCCCACAAGTGTCCCCTGCCAATCCAGGTATGGAGACCAAAGAAATCTCGTTTTTTGGATGTTTTTTTGTCCCGTGTCACAAAGCCTGGCTCCTGTGGGTGCTGCTGGAGGGCAGGGTAGACTCTCTCCCCGCCCCCAGCAGCCCCAAAGCCCCTTCTCCCCTCACAGGGTGCAGGATCCCTTTTCCGCATCTGCCTGGCTGGGGGCTTGGCCCCCTGCACCTACCTGTCCCCGCAGGACCCCCGCCCTCTCTGTCACCCTGCCATTGACAGGTAAGGGTGCTGCAGGGACAGGATCATCCCTGGGATGTCCCCTCACTCCCTGGGGGTGGCCAGTGGTGTGACTATGGCCCTGTGTGTGGCTGTGTTGTTGCCATGGGTTGCTAAAGATGTCCCCATGGCTGGCCAGTGTCACTGTGGGTGGTGCATGGGGAGGTGGTGGCTGTCCCTGCCTGCCCCATGGGCTGGCAAACAAGTGGTCCCATGGGGACAGACGGTTTTGGGGGGACATTTCACCTCGTCCTTGCCCTCCAGAGCCTTGCAACTGAGCGGGGCAGGTGGGCCTCCCCATGTGAAGCTGACAGTGGAGTGGGATATGAGCACCAAAGAGCGGTGAGTCACTTGCACTCCGGGTGAGGGAACACCCCAGCACTCAGGTCACCTTCTCTGATGTCCTCACTGGTGTTATGTCATACCCCCCCCCCCCCCC